AATGTTAGGGAGTTAAAAACTCTACATTAAACAGAAATGCATTCTTCACATTACACTTAAATGTACAACTGCAGTTTTAGCACACTATTAAAACATTGTAAATCCTTGAAATGATAAATTGTTGCCACTATTGTTTCTATATTTGGCAGATTTCCTTCTTCCACCATTCAGAAGCACAGGTGGGAATATTTAAAAGAAAAGAACAGTAACAAGTAACTATATCTTCATCAAAGGAACATGACAGAGCTTCAAAAAAGAGAAGAAAACTAAGATAAAGGGAAAGAGGAAAACTGCATTAAAAAGAGAGGACTGAAATAAAGTGTAAATAACTCAGGATTTCAAAAAAGAAAAATCTAAATCTTTAAGTTTCCTTACCTCTGATCTTAAGATTGTATGAATGGCTTCAACTTCCTTTCTCCTAGCATTAGGTAAATCTGCTACAAAAGAAACGGTATATGCTGAATATATGGTCAACATCATGTGAAGTAAACAGGCATTTTTAGGAAAATAAATTTCACTGAGCTTTAAACAGAATGGTATGCTGATCTGAGGACAGATTCAGAAGACAAACATCACTTGATTGTTATCACTACTCTCTACTGTTACAGATGTCTATTGTCATATAAGTCACTTTGCCTATCTTCTATATTCAAGAGCATCTACCTTTACCCCTTGGAAGTATTCATTAAAATTTTCTAACGGAAAATTAATCTGTTTGCTTAGTATAATTTTTGATGAAAGGTATGCAAATAGGATGAAAAAAAATTTTTCTTTTTTTGGCCGCACAGTGGGGTCTTAGTTCCCCAACCAAGGATTTAATTTGGGCCCTCAGCAATGAAAGCATCAAGTCCTAACCACTGGACTGCCAAGGGAATTCCCAATGCCATATTTCTAACTTCTTATGCAACTGGGGTTTAAGGTCTTACTAACTTTTTCTGCTTCCAATACTACCAAAAAAATCAGTGACCTCTTAAACAAAGAATAAAAATGCAGTAAAAGAACACTTATTTCAAGTAACATGGACACAAGTTATTGAAAATGAGCATGAACTCAGCCTTGTTTTGTACATTTTCATTTAAAAGGAAAGTTAAGAGGACCAAAATGGCCGTTGATGCTGCCAGATAATCAACCTCCACACAGTTAGATTTCTTTTCTAAGTATTAATATTTTTCATTACTCTCAGCCCTTTAATACTATAAAAATAACTTCTTTGAATTATAGTTTAAATCAAAAGAAAATACAAGTGGCATCCAATAAATAATAATGACAAACCAACTCTTCTTGTTTTGAAAATCACTAGGTGGGGATGCTTGTGTGGCTGTTTATACAAATTGCTTGAAACTCTGACAAGACTGTCTAATTGCTACTCAGAAGAGAACAAATTATAACCTAATCTGTTTAGGAAGGTCACTGTTAGAAGCCGCAACTGTTTCAAAGAGAGATTAAAGAAACATAAGGTCAGGAAGACCTCCCTCCATATCCCTCTCCCCAGAACATGGCCTTTTTAAGGATAAGGTGGAGGTGTTATGCAGACCAAAAAAGTTTTCCTCAATGAGGAAAAACAAAAATAACAACCATCATTTATTAATGCTTACTATTTGCTAGGCACAGTGTTAGGTTAGGCATGTTACATTCATGATTTCATTTAATCCTCCCAAATTCATGATAGCTATCTTTTTAACAGATAAGAAAACTTTGCTTTTTAAAGGATAAGTATTTAATAATTTGCTGAAGACCCCACAATCTGTAACCCATGGATGTGGAATTTCAATCCATGTCTGATTTAAAAGTCCAATCCCAAGCTCCTAAATTAGTATAGTGCTTGGTAGAATAGCAACTTTCTAATATTGTAACTATAGATAATTTTCAAGTTGTATCAATAGTGCTATTCTAAACTGTTATCTTGTTCATTGCCGGCACAGGGTAGACACTCAATAAACATTTGTTGAATGAATAAATGAACTGCATTCTGACCCTATTTTTAAATGATTTATAAAATCAATAAACTGGACGTTAAGCAAGTCCTATTTTAATACAAAGAGAAAACAATAAAAGCAGATTTTTAATCACTTAGCAAAATTTTTACTAAGCATGTACTGTGCACCAAGGAAGGTACCACACATACTAGTAATACAAGGATAAATAAAACAGAGCTGTCAGAGAGAGATCCAGAAAGTTCTGTTAGACACAAGCGACTCAACCTCCCATGGACTGAGAACGGTCTCACCAGGTACCTGACATGTCAGCAGGGTCGTGCAGGAAAAACTGTTTTCCAGGCAAAGAAGGGTAGAAAGTGAAAAGTGAAAGTGAAGTCACTCAGACTCTTTGCAACCCCATGAACTGTAGCCTACCAGGAACCTCAGTCCATGGGATTTTCCAGGCAAGAATACTGGAGTGGGTTGCCATTTCCTTCTCCAGGGGATCTTCCCGACCCAGGGATCGAACCCGGGTCTCCCGCACTGCAGGCAGACGATTTACCGTCTGCACCATCAGGGGAGTCCCAAAGAGGGTAGAGGAGGAGGTAAAGAGGAAGGGCTTTCCACGCAGGGCTTGGAGTTCTGTCAGCACCTCACCAAGTTCCCTGTGCAGAAGCCCTGGGTGCAAGCATGCTTGTGTATGTGAATGTACATCTATGTGGCTACTGGGAGAGAAGGGGGAGGGAACAAGAGATAAGATTGAAAGAGGCAGGTTGAACCCAGATAGGATAGGTTTTTGGTCTCCCCAAGTTAAGACGTTTGAGTTTTACCCCGTAAATAGAGTCAAGAGATTTTTAGAAAAGTAACTGGTAACACAACAGAATATGGAATAAAAGAGGAAGAAACAAGTGACAGGACATGAAAGAGGAATAATGTGTGGGAGAGAAAACGGGGATGGGAACTAAAGAAGGAGGAATAATAAAGGAAAGGACAAATATAAGAAACACTTCAGGCACCAGATGAACAAGATTAGGTGACCAATTCAAAGTAGGAGAAAAAAGAGGCAAAACAATGTGACAAAGATTTCTAAGTTTAAGAGAATGGGTAGATGGTGAAACCATTAAAAATGAGAATATGGGAGCACATTTGGTGGGAAAAACAAAATGAATTCCACCTTAAGCCTGTAGGACATCCAAGTTGGAGGGGTAAGTGCGCAGGTTCTGGCTTAGGGTCAAAGAAATAGTTACCTGTTTTCCCCTATCTAGGAAACAAGGAAAGACTAGGCATTCCCCAGGTTAGCCAGCCCTTTTCTGCTTCTAACAGCCCTCAATGTCACATGATCATTTCCTGAACACAGGAAGAATCCCTTTAATTCCCACCCCAACCCGTCCCACCTGATGTACCCCTCACCCCAGGAGTACCCCAAGCAGTTAAATGGTACCAACTATCATTTAACAGCAGCTGCCCAATTTTCTTCCCTTCTTAGACCCCACAGAAATCCTAAATATAGATACTATCTTTCTAAATCAAACTATCTTTCTCTACTTCAACCAAATAAACATGCATACTCAAATCAGTATTAAAAAATAAAACCAGAATGCTAATTTATTTACAACAAACAAAACTAGCAAAGGAACTGCTCTCATCCAAAAGACCAACCTCTCTGGAGGCAGATGTAGACTGAAATTAAAGAATTCTTTTGATCTAAATACTACTTGATGAAAGAAGTATCAAGAAATCAAAACAGCAATTAACTTAATCATCGATTACCATGTAACTCCTGGTCACTATTCATTAGTAAAACAAAATGAGGACTTCAAAAATGAGTGAAGGTTGCTAAAGGGACCCGAAGAACAGGATTACCTTCCTTGATCTGAGCATATGGGAGGCATTAGGCAATTAGGCATGAAAATACACTCTCAGCTGAGACGCTGTAATGGGCCGTCAGAATAAGCAAAAATATAATAGGAAAACCATACCCACGTTTCACTAACATTTAAGTGAGAAAGGGTAAGAGCCACTAAATATTTTATTAAGCTACGAAAATCGAAGAAACCCCCTCCCGCCAAAAAAGTGACTACGTGTCATAATACAAATAATTCTTTAAATTATGTCGATATAAAGGAAGAGGATCAAAATCAGTTCCGCCTCCAAGTTAAGGCCAAAGTAAGCGGTGGGTGTGGATGAACCAAAGAAAAATAAACTTTATGCGATGTAAGGGCGGTTTCACTCTGCTGTGAGCTATCCCGGGTACTCAAAGGAGAAACACCATAACTCTTTCCCCCAACCCTAGTGGTCTCTCATTAGAGAAAATCACCTAAGAGGCAAAAGGAGAAATGTAAAGAAAAAAGGGCGGAGTGACACTTCTCTAGACCTGTCTGCGTCTCATGACAGATGGACTTGGGGACCAAACGGACGCTCCCAGGGTCCCAATAAACCCCTCCCTCCATCTCCCCAGCTGTTACCTTCCACTTCCTCCGTGCCCTCCATCAGCATATCCTTCGTAAAGTTTGAAATCTGGCCAGTGAGGGAAGCCAGGCTGCCCCCGACATGACCCAGGGACTGGCCCAAGCCGGAGCCGAGGCCCCCAAGCCAGGACGACATCGCTGCGGGTTAGAGAAGGTCCGCTCTGCTCCGAGAAAAGCGGCCAGCGTCGTCGGACTACTCTGCCAAATGTCCTCGAACCGCTGCTTCCGCAGGACTGTCCAAATCACAACACTCAGGAATCGATAACACAACAGGGGGAATGGTTCCCAGTCCACGCCGGTTTCGGGGGCTCCCACCAAACGCCGGGCTCTAATTAGAAACGCAAAGGCCTGGCCTCAGACTTTACCAGGGACCTGCCTCCAATGACACAGTCACCCCCGTGGGCTTCCACTCATTCTCACGACTTCCCACCATCCGGATTAGGCCACTTCTGCTGCTGCTTTAGTGACTTGCCCCAATTCCGTGGGCAACTCCTGCCAACTCGACGCCGGCCGCCATGACACCCACTAGGAACGCGTCTATGGATCATAGAGAGGCGCCGTGATAGGGTAGAAAGGCCCTGCAGAGCCGCCGGACGTGTCCTGGGTGCAGGGGAACATGGGATCGCGGAGGACCGAGTGCGGCCGCGGTGGCCGCAGCCTCCAGCCCCAGGGCAAGGTCAACTTCCACGTAGCCCGCCCGCTTTGGCCGCCGGTGGAATACCGACCGGTACCCGCGGCAACGTGGCGCTCTCGCCAGCTGCAGCTGGGTTTCAGGCAGAGCCGACCCTCAGTGGGTGCCCCCCGAAGTCGGCGTAGCCTGGGAGCCCTGTGGACTCTTATTCTTGAGGAAACCCGAGTGTATTAATTCTGATTACCCTCGCGAAGGCAGCGGTGCGAGGAGACTGGGCGGGGATCCTCCACCGGCTCAAAAGTGGATTTTACATAACTTATCACACGTGTACTGTGACTATTATTCTACACCCTGTCAAGGGCCGCTGCGTACTGGGGACTACGGTAGGAACCAAAGGTACACAGAAAGGATGGGTTGCAAATTCAAGTGTCCAGGCAGCAAACATACTTGTGTTGATTACCTTCATAGTGGAAATTTTCTCTGTTGCCTGTCCAGCTTTTTAACCTATGAAGTTAAAAATACAGACTACCCGTTTCAAAATAACTCTGCAGAGGACAGCAGGGCAACTTTATGCAGAAGAAATGCTCTTGTAATGTGAACGCTCTCGTTCGGTACTGTGACACTGGCCCTTCAAGGGCCCACCTCTCCCAGGGTCCCCAGTTACAGAGTTGGTGCACACACCTGTGTCCTGACTTGGTTGCTTTCCCTCCTAGAGGAAAAAAGGTCACGTGACTTATAGGCATTTACTGCAGTGCTACGTGGACCCACACTACCTGGCCAGAGAGAGAGCCACATTTTTGACTTTGAAAAGAATAGTATAGGTCTGCAGGTCTTTTGAGCATAGAACCTAATATACTGGCACCTTTCTCCTTGATTTTATTCACAGCAGGGGACACCGCAGATTTCATTATTTGTGAATGGAACATTGGAAATGCCTCCAGTGTTTGAAATATGGTGGCACCAAGGAATAGTGTTGTTATTCGGTCACTGAGTCACGTCTGACTTTATTGCAACCCCATGGACTGCATGCAGCATGTCAGACTTCCCTGTCCCTCACCACCTCCCAGAGTTTGCCAAGTTCATGTCCAAGGAATAGTAGCCCTCCCTGAAATCTGAATGCTTTTAGAATAAAATTTGTATCTTGTACTAGAAGTGTTTATTAAATGTTTTCTGTATATATTTTTTAAAGGGCATCATTGCCCAGGGGTTAGATGTGCAGACACGGGTTTGACTGCCTAGATCTTTGATTTGTTAGCTTTGTGACCTTGGGTAGGTTACTTAACTTCTGTGTGTACCAGTTTCCCATTTGTAAGTTGGGGAATGATAAATAATACTGCCTACAGGGTGGGGTTTTTTTTTGAGGATTAAATAAAGTAGTATTTTTAAGTGCTTGGAACAGTGCCTGTACATGGTGAGTTCTATTTTAAGTGTAAAGTTTTGAAAGTATGACGTAAAGGTGACCTGCAAGTTATTCATAGGTAGACGATGAATTGGTTAATAGCATCACTGACTCCATGGACATGAATTTCAGCAAACTCCAGATGATACTAGAAGAAGAGGAGCCTGGCTTGCTTTACTCCATGGGGTCGCAAAGAGTTGGACACGACTGAGTGACTGAACAACAATACATTATTCTGAGCACTGGGGATACAGCAGGAGAAAAAACACACACAAAGCCTCTGATCTCATGGAGCTTGCATTCTACTGGAAAGGAACTGATGAGAAAATGTATTAAGTATTACATGATGATGACTGCTGTGGGGGAAATAACAATATTAAACAGGGTAAGAATGGTATGGAAGGGATGTAGGAGAAAGAGTGCGCTTATAAATGTTATCGAAGGTGGTCAGGCCTCACTGGCAAGGTGATATTTGAACAGAGACTTGAAGGAAGTAAGAAAGTGAGACTGGTATCTGGGAAAGAGCAGTCCAGGCAAAAGAAACAGCTGATGCAAAGGTCCTGAGGCAGGAGAAGTCTTGCCAGGTTAGAGGATTAGCAAAAAGGCAAGGATGGCTGGAGCAGAGTGGGCTGGAGAAAGGAGATAAGCAGTGAGGACCAAGAAGTTCAAATAGGGGAGGACAGGTGACATAGGGCCTGATAATCGAGTGTAAGAACTCTAGCTTTTACTCAGAGTAGAATGAAGAATTGTTTAGAGAAAAGGAGTCACATGAACTTAGGACATCAATGGGTTCCTGTATAACAGTGAAAAGTTTGGTGTAAATCAAGCTCTTATTTCCTAGAGGTGTAAATTCTCTGGAGTGTCATTTATATAAATTCATGTCATGCCATAAAGATATTGCAGTTAATGCGGAAAACAAAATACATGCCTTTATATTATGTATTAAGGTATTAACATAAAAGCTATGTCTAAATCCTCTTTATTGAGGATTGTTTTCAGTGTGATGGACTAGGGTCTAAAAAACTTAAAGTATGATTCTGATGTATATAGCATGATGGACTTCCCTGGTGGCTCAGATGCTAAAGAATCTGCTTGCAATGCAGGTGACCTGGCTTCGATCCCTGGGTCAGGAAGATCCTCTGGAGAAGAGAATGGTTACCCACTCCAGTATTCTTGCCTGGAGAATTTCATAGACAGAGGAGCCTGGCGGCTGCAGTCCACAGGGTCGCAAAGAGTCAGACGTGACTGAGGGACTAATACACACACACATATAGCATGATGTGATGTTTGGGATGTGCTTCAAAAAATGGGGACAGGGTGGATGAATCAAGAATTGTCAGGACTTGGTCATTATTGATGCTGGGTGATGGGAAGGTACATGTTGTTTTCTTGTTGCTGTTCAGTCACCTAGTCGTGTCCAACTCTTTGCAACCCATGGACTGTAGCATGCCAGGCCTCCCTGTCCCTCACCATTTCCCAAAGTTTCCCCAAGTTCATGCCCATTGCATCAGTGATGCCATCCAGACATCTTATCCTCTGATGGATACACAGGGGAGTCATTTATTTTTGCATACATTTGACATTTTTTACTGTACAAAAGTCATACAAATTTGATGAAGCTTGGGCTGATGACACCTCTGCTTTTCCTACCAAAATCCCCTGTAGCGAATAAGGCCGTTCATCACCACTTAATGAATAACAAAACAAGCCCAGCTACAGCAGACACACCAGACACAGCCTAGGAACCTGAATGACTCTCTGTGGTGGGGGCTAGGCTGCCCAGTTGAAATTCTGAACTTAAGATTTTTGTAACCTCAACAGATAGAAGATTCTTTAAAAAAAAAAAAAAACTGACCAAAAAATGCTATCAACTGCAAACTGGTTTCCATTTCTCAAGAGACAGCATCATCAATACTTCTCTAGGGAGAGCAGTCTCTTTGTTCTGAAGAAACCGTCCAAACGGGTTTATTTATACAAAAAGAAAAGAACCCATTTCTTTTACGTTTAGTTAAAGAAAAAACCGTTTGAATCAGTTCTAATGAGATGGATGAAACTGGAGCCCATTATACAGAGTGAAGTAAGCCAGAAAGATAAAGACCAATATAGTATACTAACGCATATATATGGAATTTTAAAAGATGGTAACAATAACCCTATATGCAAAACAGAAAAAGAGACCCAGATGCACAGAACAGAGTTTTAGACTCTGTGGGAGAAGGTGAGGGTGGGATGTTCTGAGAGAATAGCATTGAAACAAGTATACTATCAAGGGTGAAACAGATCACCAGCCCAGGTTGGAAGCATGAGACAAGTGCTCAGGGCTGGTGCACTGGGAAGACCCAGAGGGATGGGATGGAGAGGGAGGCGGGAGGGGGGATCGGGATGGGGAACACATGTAAATCCATAGCTGATTCATGTCAATGTATGGCAAAAACCACTACAATACTGAAAAGTAATTAGCCTCCAACTAATAAAAATAAATGAAAAAAAAAAGAAAAAAACAACTTTTTAGAGTAGAATTTTAAAATATTAGTCTGATCTTTCCCTCTCAATTTCTAAATATTATCCTTATATTGCCATTTTCTCATTATTTTCTCATAATTTTTGACATTATCTACCTACTCTCAGTTACAGAAAATAAAAGATTAGAACGCTTGTATTACCACCTGTGTCTATTTCCCTTCCTTCTGAGCTCCCAGTAGAATGATATCATAATTATTGGCAAAATTAAAATTTTAATTTACCAGTTAAAAATTCAAATTGAAGTTTACCTTATATGCCTACGTAAGTGTTGTTCATTGGCTGAGCCACATGGTGTACTAAGATTACATTTCCTTTATTTTCAACCTGTTCTTCCTGAAATTAACAAATTCCATCTTTTAGATCTGCATAATTTTCTGTTACCGCATGTGTGCTAAGTCGCTTCAGTCATGTCCAACTCTTTGCGACCCCATGGACTGCAGCCCACCGGGCTCCTCCGTCCATGGGCTTCTCCAGGCAAGAACACTGGAGTGGGTAGCCATGCCCTCCTTTAGGGGCTCTTCCCCACCCAGGGATGAAACCCATATCTCTTATGTCTCCCGCATTAGCAGGCAGGTTCTTTACCACTAGCACCACCTGGGAAGCCCTTTTCTGTTCATTACAGAATCACCAATCCTTCTAAAAGTTAGCAACAGAATTGTAAAACATGCTCCTAATTCTGTTTTCAAGAAGGCATCAAGAATTCTATTATTTGCTTAGACTCATTGCTTCTACCCAGAGTCCTCTGTTTCCCTGCTTCACTCTCCTCTGACCTGTTCTCTGGACCTTGTTTTTCCTTCTGGAAGCTGTAGGCTCTTATTGTCTATGATGCTCTGAAGTTAATAAGGATGTGCCCTGGGTGGGTTTGTTTGTCATTTCACTCATTGTGCTGGGCACTTAGCAAACCCTTCTTAAAACCATGTCTTTCAGTTCTGCAAATTATTTAAAATTTTTTTAATTGATGAATGTCCCCTCTCTAGGGAAACAGCTGTTTTTCAGGTATTTTTAACCAATCCTCCTGATTTCAGGCCACATCTCACCCCTACCTTCCAAGACAGTTGTTGCTGCCTGTCCTGTGTGCTGTTGGACATCCTTCTGTTTAATACTTACTATGCAGCTCCCTCAGTTCTGCTCATTCCGGTATCAACTTTTCATATTCAAAAAAAAGAAAAAGTTCACATCTCCTATCACCTCAAATGGTGAAAGAAAGTGAAAGTATTAGTCCTTCAGTCCTGTCTGACTCTTTGCGACTCCATGGACTGGGTCCCCCCATGTTCCCCTGTCCATGGGATTCTCCAGGCAAGAATACTGGAGT